TTTGAATGACAAATTACTGTTAGACAATCTAGAAACATATCTTGACCCACTAGATGAGGAAACCATGCTTCACTCCCACCCCAAATCATTAGAAAACAGGACATTCTCACTTCAAGCTTCCTCAAAGCACCTGGGAGAAGTTATTTGTCTAGCAAAGAAAGGAATCAGTCTTTTTTCTGACAATATTTTAGAGGAAGATGAATTCATCTCGTATTTACTACTAACCGCCCCCCTCACATTTAAGTAGGGATGTATATTGTTCTGTATAAAAAAAAGAAATCTTTCATTTTTCTTATCCTTCTAAATGAGAGTTAAAGAGAAAAATTTAAGCCTGCCATTAAATATTTTTGGAGGTTAAATATATTTGCTCCTGGCTCCATGCTCCCTATGCACCACTCTGAAGTGACCTGCATATCACCAGCGGCATCTACCTCTTGTCTGAGAACTCCTGTTCTCACTCGCTGCTTTTTCCTTACTTGGTGCTGTTAACAGAGGGCATTGGTCACATTAAACTCAAAAGATACTCAACAAACACCGTGAAAGTAGCCCCAGGATTCATATATACTTGAACAAAGACCTGAGCGAAATATGTCCTGCAAATATGTGCTCTTTATACTTTTTTGTTACAGAGATGCAGTTAAAACTCAGAGACAGTTCAAACTCTGAACACTGCATTTTAAAGACCTATTCTGCCTTGTGGAAATTTCCATTGAAGAGTTTATTTGAAAACAAACTAGTTATTAGTTTATACTGTATAAGGCAAAAATTCTAACATGAGTGGTTTGTGTGAAGCCATATTTTCTTTTTCCAATTTGCAGGGAATTATTCTTGAAAATACAGAACATACCCACTCCAGATATGATTGCAGTTCAATGTTGCAAGTGTATTGTAAAAGTGGCTGCTTTCTTTACAGTGTTCAATCTCATCATGTGAATTCAAGCTATTCTGGTTTAAATTCCTAAATAAATACATTCATAACCACCTCAAAACAGTAACCATAGTAGCGCATTTTGTACAATGAATTTTGAGAGAGATTATTTTGGGAAATATTCTTTCAAACAGCCAGATAGCACATAAAGTACAGGAGACAGATGGTATTCATAAAGAAAAAGAAGTACCATTTCACATCTTGTAATGAAGCTGAAGGCTGCACCCTAATGAGCACTTACTGCATCACTGTCAGGCCTGTTCATTGACACCGCGCAGCACCCAAACTGCCTGGTAGCAAGTGCAAACCTACTTGACAAAGTAAAACAAAAAGATGTTCAGCTTCTCTTCAGATCTTAAATGCAGAAGTGATTGCACCTTTTTTTTTCTGAAGAGAGGGTTTATTAATGAAACATAAAAGGTTTCATTGTAATACACTGATACATAAACACCTATTACAGTCTAATTAAGCAGATAAATTCCATTTTCAGTTCTACAGGGGAGATTTTAAACTGGCTTCCAGTTTTTTCAGTCTGTTTGTACACACAATAGGGATAGGTGTGTTGATTAAGAAAATCTGGACTTCAACAGGACAGCTATTGCATGTACATCTACAGTACATTATGCATATCTTGATTTATTCCTTTGCGTGACAGCCTAACTTTAGGCATACAGTGTTGTTCTAGAGTGCTGCAGCAGTCCCTCTGTGCTGCAAGCTGTTAATCTGTGTTTTGCAAGCCTGCCTTTGTCTCCAGGCTGAGGTCTTACTGTATTTTCATTACTTATTAAAAATAGCTTGTAGTATTGTAAATTAGTGGGATTAACCTACTTTAAAAAGGGAAATTAGGTCAGTTACTGTATTCATACCCAGCCTTCATCTCTCACATATTGTTATAGCTCTCTTGCATCCTACAAAATGGGCAGTTCCCTGTGGGAAATACAGATCTGTGTGCAGCAGTTTGCTTCATCCCACACTCGAACGCAACACAGAAACAAACCGGGCGGGGTAAAGGCCCCACTGCTTGTTATTGGTCTCTGCTGATACAAACCTCTTGGCCAGAAAAGAAACAGGACTTACTGTAGACTGCTAAGAGGTGCTCCGTTAGCAGGTTGTTTGCGACGGTGAAGACCAAGTGGGCTGTTACATACTTCTGATACTTGAAACACACCTAAAAACCAGACTCCAAAACAGTTTTTGAGGTTATCTTCACCAAAGCACCTAGGAACACCCCTTCCAAACCTACATTACCTGACACAAGAGACTTAGATGAAACAACCACTGGCACTCGGCCAACCACCAAGCTACTAATCCTCTCTGACCAGAGATCAGGGAGGGAAGGGGTGACTGTACTCTACCTGCAGTAATAGGTCTTGATGGCTATTGTGGCATCTGAAACACTGGGCACACTGGGAGAAAGAAGCAATTCTTCATGCTCTGTGCAGCTGCTGCTGTCTCAGGCTAGGGGCAAAATACAAGGCACAGCCACTTATCTGTCATGCAATGATCAGGAATGCAAGTGCTCACAACATGAAAGGCTCAGCAGACCATGGCTCCACTCACTCCGTCCTCAGCTTTTCCTTTGCTCTTGGCCCCTTGGCCCCTTATTTTTTTCACTACAGTTACTAAGTACAGCATACGTTCAGAAACTACAATTGTTCCTTTAGGTAGGGGAGTCTGTAGTGCATCACCAAACAGAGCTTGTTCTACCAAGTCCCCATGAGAGCTCCAGGACAGAGCTCTTAAGTCTGTTGCTTTCAGAAAAACTTTTATTCTTCCTCCAATTTCCCCCTGACAAGGAATCCTCATTATTGTCTTCCCAGTGAAAGAACGAGAGTGACCTCTAGTACACCAAGAGAAATGCAGAGAGAGAGAATTACCCCTCTGGCATTTCTCTGACAACTCCCCCTCTCCAAACCAATTCACAGTCACTCTCTCACTTTCACACTGGGGCAGGAAAATCAACATGGAGGGAAAACATACTGCAGTGACATGCAATTCAGACAGCCAGATATCTGCATCTAGGAAAAATAACTAAAAGATAACAGTATGCTGCTTCTCTTTCCCCTCAGCTTCAAGCCGATCTACAACTAAACAGAGATTGCAATTTCTGTATATTAATTACACTCCTGAAAAGGAGAGAGAGGGGAAAGAAATCCAGACTGCACGGGGCATTCCTTTCTCTAGCATAATGAGCTGCCACAATGCAACCTTCAGCATTCCTTGGTATCCATTTCTCCTTTCCATGCTTCCCCACATACACAGATATTGCTGAGAAAGGCTGACTCACCAGGGAGCCTAAGATTACTCAAGGAACACGAGAGCTGCTGCAGAACCACCCCCACAAAAGAGGATACAGAAAAGCCTCAGGAATCCTCATAAGCACCCTCATGATTCCTTACTAGGATACTGTTTAGCAGATGACAAAGAAAACCCCTTCTGTTGGTTTTTTTGGGGGGGTTTTTTGTGGGTGTTTTTTGGGGGGTTTTTTTGGTGTGGGGTTGTTGTTGTTGTCATTTGAAACTGTCCAAAAAAAGCAGAATCACATAATTCTGGGGGTTGGAAGGGACCTCAGGAGATCATCCAGTCCAACCCCCCTGCCAAAGCAGGTTCACCCAGAGCAGGTTGCACAGGAAAGTGTCCAGGTGGGTTTGAACATCTCCAGAGATGGAGACTCCACACCCTCTCTGGGCAGCCTGTCCCAGGGCTCTGGCACCCTCACAGGAAAGAAGTTTTTCCTCATGTTTAAGTGGAACCTCCTGTGTTCCAATTCGTGCCCATTGCCCCTTGTCCTATTGCTGGCCACCACTGGAAAGAGTCTGGTCCCATCCTCTTGCCACCGCCCTTTAGATATTTATAAATACTGATTATGTCTCCTCTCAGGCTGCTCTTCTCCAGGCTGAACAGTCCCAGCTCTCTCAGACACTCCTCGTAAGGCAGACGCTCCAGGCTCCTCATCAGCTTTGTGGCCTCCACTGGACTCTCTCCAGAAGTTCCCTGTCCCTCTTGAACTGGGGAGCCCAGAACCGGACACAACACTCCAGATGTGGCCTCACCAGGGCAGAGTAGAGGGGAGGAGAACCTCTCTTGATCTGCTGGCCATGCTCTTCTGAGTGCACCCCTGGAGACCATTGGCCTTCTTGAATGAAGGAGCATATAGCACATACAGACTCTCCCAGCCCCTTGGGTTAGCTTAAGTGTCTAGGTGCCATTAAACAGCATCCTTTACAGCCTGTCTTCTCCATCTTCTTTAAACAAATCATGGAATACACAGGGAAACGAACATTGCCAGGGGTGTCCCTCTGAATCCCACCAAGCTGGGACTGACAACTTTTAGATAAAGCTTTTGCTTTTCCTGTTTTCCAGGATCATCTCTACACAGGAGCCACTGAAAATCCCTTAACTATGAAGCAGATCTGGATTTTGTAATATGATGTTGTTGCCTCAACATTCCCCAAAAGAAATGCATAGAATCAAAGAAATCAATGACAGCAGCAGTAAGCAACATGCAGATTAAAATAGCATTTATCGCTTCTACAGCACGTGATATGTCAGCGGGCATTTTTTGCCTGTTCACACCACAAAGCACAACAAAGAAGGAGAAGAAAGTTCCAAAGACATATGCAAGCCAAATCAGCTAACACAGGTAAATTAAATGACCAATATACCAACTGCAGGGTGGACAACCTAAGAATAATAAGATATTTGCTACATTTTTACTTTTTTCTAGATCATTGCAGGTCAACCAGAGTCACATCTTCATTGAATAATCAACACTCATTTTGCATTGTGAAATGTCATTCCTCCTCAGGGTTAACGGCTTCAAGAACCAGGGATAATCTTGTACCCGGATTAAATAAATACTGCCACAAAAACTTCTTGTTTTGTAGCAACATACTACATCCCTGGCGTTTTCCTTATCAATCAGAACATATCACAGACATATGCTGTAAGCAATGAATTTGGAAAAAGGCACCACACCTGCCACTTTCTGCCTGGGTAGGTGTGCAGGATGCTCAGCTCTGCCTCTACACAAACAAGGAATGACATTTTGCAGAGTTCGTATGTTCTTTACCTTGTAGCAAACATCGCTCTCAGGGAAGAGAAGGTAGCAGCATCTTCTTTCAAAGCCTTCAGCTCATTTCGCAGCTTCATCATTGTCTCCGTAACCATAGCTTTCTCATTTTCATACTTGCTTTTTAAGTTGGCAAGGGCTACCTCCGCAGTCTATTGTTTATCAAGAAGAACAGAAATGTACTAGTTAATTAAAAGTCTTCACAAAGTGGCTGGCTAAGAGATTTCTAATCACTATTCACAGAATGAAACATTTACTTTGTACTGGAATGTTAAGCCTCTAGCCTCTATTTTCTTATACAAATTAAATAAAATTTCATTTTTGAACACTGGAAACAGATCAGACATATGGGTCTCCCATTCCCATTAACCACGCAGCAGCATTTAGGAAGTTACAGAATATGCACTTAGTGACACCTATCTCCAACTGCTAAAAGAAATTTAACTTTACACATTTCAACACAAAGAACAAGTCTATTCAGTATCTCTGTATTTAAACACATTCATCAATTGCTTGCGCAGTTCTCTAACCCTTACAGTGTTTTGTCTCTCTTACATTTTGGCACACCTTATTAAAATGTGCAGAAGAAAACTGAAAGCATGTATATATTTCTTAAACAACACCATACTTTTTTGAAGACAACTTCAATTTGCATTATGTTAACTTTAGAGGAGGCAATGCAGCATGTCATATGGTGTCTTAATGGCAGTTATTTTAATCTACTGCACTGCTAATGTGTATTGCATGGCACAGCCCAATCCCCAAAGACTAATTTTACTTTTCACCTCTGTTATTTTGACCATATTCTTATACCACATCCTCATCTCGGAAGGCTTTCTTTTATTTTGCAATTTGAGGAGAGTAGGTAAGTTTAAGAACTCTTAAGGGTAATGACTAGAACTCTTTCAACTAGAAAATAAGGTTTACGTGTTAATTTTAAGTGTCTTACATTAAATATAATCTGATATAATTCAGACAGGCAGAAGACTGAAACTACCTTAAGCTTAATAAAAATTCTCATGAATATGTGACAAATCAGTTAAAGCCCCAGCATTCAGCTTTACAGTAGGACAGCTGTGTGCCTCTAATGAAAGAACCTGCTTCAGCCTTGTACCAAACAAGTATCAGCAACAAAAGCCCCACTGAGTTGAGGGTATGGCACTACAACCTCAGCGATAAATACTCCTGTGTTTACGATCTGATTCCCTGACAACACCATAACCCTCACATCTGTAAGACGTGGTTACCTGTTTGTTGGCCTTCAGCACAGTTCTGAGAGTTGCTATCTGTTCTCTCTTGGTGCTCAGCAGGGACTTCAGCTTCAGGATTTCCTCCATGAGAGCTTCTTTGTCTTTATCCACCACTGGCCCAAGTTCTTGAGTGGCAACACGCTGCCTGGACAACTCAGTGGTTCTGTCCACAGCAGCTTGCAGGTGTTTGATCTGATCTCGGATTATAGCAATCAAGTTGTAAATGTTCATTGGTTCCTTCCGAGGATCTGACACAGGAGATGGCAGAGATGACACTGGAGACGGGCTGCTGTCACCACTTCCACTCTCTGCCTTTCCTAGCTCTATAGTTAACAGCCCTTTAGAAAGAAGAATGGGAGATCTTCTTCCCTTGGTCTCTGGACTATTGCGTCCACCTTTACCTTCCTTGTAGTAATCCAGCATCACTCTGTTTGGAGTTTCATTGTTGCACATGCAGACATGGTGGTATAAATTGGCCAGTTCTTCACTGAAGGTGACCAGCTCATCTTGGGCCACACTGAGGCTGCCCTGTGTTTCTCCAGCAACATCACTGACTTTCTTCAGCTCCTTCTCCAGTCTGGCCACTTGTTCTCTATCGTGCCTACTGGATTTTTCTAGTGAGGTGATCTTCTCAGTGAGAGCTTGGCTCTCAGTCTCATATCTGCTCTTCTCTTCCTCATACTTAGACTCACACTCTTTGTATTTGGCCTTAAGATTTTTAAGCTCTTCTTTTAGGTCAGTAATCTCTGCCACAGCCACTTTGTACTTGCACTCCAGAATCTCTGGTCCATTGATGTCAACTTCATAATAGTCTCCATCTTCATGGCTGTCTCGGTCCTTCTCATTGTCCAGGGCAGACTGACGTTCCTTGCTGACTTGGAGCTTCTTCATTGCATTCAGGTTTTCTGTGAGTCTGCCAACTTTCTCATGCTGCTCTGAGAGGGCACCCCGTGTATTTTCCAGCTGCTTCTGAGATTCCTGTAGCGTGGTTAACAAGTTCACCTTTTCTCTTTCCATCTGAAATGCATGAACATAGACAACCACGTAAAGGAAACTGTATCACTTAAGTGGTTTTGTTATAAGAGGCAGCAACTTAGTCAAGGTCCATATGGTTACAGAAATCCAATCACTTGCACATTATGGAAAAGGCTATTGAATTTACTCTAAAACTATCTCAAGCACAGTATTCCTTGCCAATTGTTTCTCATTTCCACTCCAAAATGCACATTTTTATTCATTTCTTCCATAGCTGATGGTCTCATTGTGAAAACATCCTTTCAGCTGGACATAAACTGAAGTTTACAGTTACCTTGCAAATTATCAAGTAAATATTAGAAAACATGCAGCTACTCTATAGTGGAACCTTGGACCTTGATGAAAGACTCAGAAATACTGAAACTTCTAAAGTTTCTCCTCTGAAAGTTCTCATTTTGAAAAAAAAACAGCAATTTTTTCCACAAAGGCTTTTTCTCATAGAACACTTCAAAAAAATGCTTGACAAAATAACTTTTTAAAACATTTATGTACAAAAATATGTATGTTGTTTCAAAGTCTCCGAGCTCCCAATAGCACAAATATAACACAGAAATGCTTGGTACTGATTAAAACTTCATGTTCCTCAAATTAATTACAGAAAATAGTTACGGTGTACAAAACTCCTTTTCATGAAGATGACTGGAAAAAACATTAATTTTTGAACAAAATACTGTCTTTCTCACTAGTGACATAATGAAGTAGACAGAGCATGTATGCACAGAAGATGCATCAAAACTTTCCTCCAGACGTAGGATATGATTGCTACCTGTGGCTGGCTCTTCACTGACAAACATTTAACATCCTCGAATTCTAAATCAATTGGAACCTTTACAAATATAGTTCATACTGTTCGGTGGCCACGTGCGATACTGCAAAGACTGAAATAACAACCCAACTAAACTCTAGCAGCTATTTGGAAGTACACGGCTGTTAAAACCGATTTACCTGTACAAGCTGTTGCTTCAGCTTCTGGATTTCAGAAATGTTTAATTCACTCAGAAGATCTGAAACCAGACTTGGTGCTGGAGGGAAGCTTTCATTTTTCTTGGGCGTTGATGTACTATTCTTGCCGTTGCTGAGTTTGCTGAGGCAGTTTTGTTCAAATCCATTCATGATTTCATCGTTATTGGGCTCTGTGGCTTCCTCGCTGAACTTCAGACCATCCAAAGAGATGTTCAGGTGGCTGTTGTACATAGAGTCATTGATGTTCATGTAGTGAGAGAGCTCCTTACGAAGATTGTTCTTCTGCTCCCGTTCTGTCTTCAGTGTCTCTAAGGCCTCCTCAAGCTGGCGTTCGGAGATCTCCTTCAGCCGTATGGCATCTTCTAGCTGGCTGTTGAGAAATTCTGTTTCCTCTTCGAGCCTTTTGATTTCGTGCTTCAGGCCTTCAAACTCCACCTGGAGATAGACAAATGGAGGGGAAAAAAAAACCCTAATGAAAATGTCTGCCTGTGAGACACCAAGTAATTTTACTTTTGAATGTTTGATTTCAATAAATATGATGAGAATAGAATAATTTTTTTAGTTCTAGTTTTGGCACTATGACCGTAAACATTGCTTACATAATTTACCTTCACAGAGACCATGGAATAAAATTTCTAAGCAAACTGTCAAATGAGCTGATCTATTCCATCTTAATTAAGACAGGTGGGAGATACAGTGTATGATACAGAGGCATTACAAAACAGAGTTTCCTAGCGCATTATGCAAATTCTTTCTCTGTTTGATTAACAAATTCCCTGGCCAACCTTCCCACACACTTAAGCTCAACATTTCCAAACGCAGCATGACAAAGCTGTGCTTCTGACACTCTGCTGTGCTGCTGTTAGAATATGCCACTGGGCTTTAAAACTGTTGAGATGCACCTAGCAATCAAACTCTGCTTTTATACATTCAAAAGAAAATGTTTTATCATTTCTGTCATCATCATTTCAGCACATCTTGAGAGTGCTACCATTCAGACGTATAATGCTGCTACATGAAATCTGATGGCATGTTATAAGTTTTTACCTGTGAAACTGCATTTTTTTAAACCACTCTTACACTGAAATTATGAACACCACGCATTAGCGTAAAATTTTGAATCCCTTGGGGAAAAAAAAAAAAAGAAAAAAGCCTAAAGAAAATCTTTTCCTTACCTTGAAAGAAAGGAAAACATACCACGTGATATATGACCCTATTTATTTTTGCCAACTGCTAAGTGAATTTTAGTTGCCAACATACATCAGTCTGGTAGTGCTGAACCACACCTTATTTAAAAACCAGGAATCAATCATGCTAATTCAGTTTTGCAAGTTAAGCCTGGGAAAATATGATGGCTTCTTCTAGTTATGTCAGTGGGATAATTAAAGCTTAATAAAATTCATCAAGGAGGATTAGGACAAGGCAGAAAATGAAATAATCCATTGCCATTAAAAGAATTAGCTCTTGGTTTTATATGTCGGCTGAGCTCAAATGTTTAAGATTGCAGTCTATTTTCAAAGGTTCCAGAATACAGACGAAGTAGTCTGTAATTACTAGTAACTGACAAGATAGCATCTGAGGTTAAACTTGGCTCAGCCCAGAATGACAGCATTCTTGAATATTGTTATTTTAGAATGTGAACATGAAGCTGGGAACTTTCACTTGCTCCTCTGAAAACCATGAATGAAACAAAAAACAGTAAAAAAAAAAAAAAGTAACCAACTACATAGATTGGATTTTACCAGATCACTCTCTCTGCCAGTCTGTATCTAGAGCATAATAGCCCCTTCATCCCTACCACATGATGTCAGGGCACCCAAACCAGCATAATTAAACCAAATATACTCAGGTAAGATCAGGTCCAACCTGGAATTCCCTTTTGGGCACACCAGTGAGGCCAAAGTGATACACACTGGCAAGGAGTTTCACCTGGAGCTAAATGAAATACTTTCAATATCCCAAATACCTCACTTGGCAGGGCAGTTTCATCCAGAACACCGAAGGAGATCTGAAGCAAATCCTCACAAGCTTTTGCTATGTGCTCTCTACAATAGATAGCATTAACACTACTGTTTTCTTCGTGAGTTTTTATTTCAGGAATATTATACCATTTTCTCAAGTGAACTTTGAGTTTTATTTACACAATGAGACTGGCAGGTACCTGAAGAATAAAAATAGCAAGTCCCCAAATGATAGATGAAGATAAGTGAACCGTGCCAAAGACCACGTCTAATCTAATTGCCTTTGTGAATGATAACTGAGGAAAATTCTTAAGTTGTTCCAAAAAGTTTTCTAAAATTCAGAAAATAGCTGGAACTGTGCAATTAAATGTGGCTTTTCAGATGAGCAGTTACATAGGTCTGACAGTAACAGTCATCTATATTTAATGAAAGTAGAAGAGAGGAGTACAGAACTTGAGAGATAATGTAAGCGCTAAGTAGCAATAAAAACAAATGTTCAGAAATACACCCAATTACAGATACTGTAGAAAAGGACGGATGGATGGATGGATGGATGGATGGATGGATGGATGGATGGATGGAGAGTATTGCAAAGAGACATTGTAGCAAAATAACTGAACCAAGTAACAAAGCAGACTGGTAGAGACTTCACTTCCATCAAAGAGAGAGAAGGCAATGGAAGGACTTGGAGGTCAAAGCAGAAGCAATAAAGTCTTACAACTGTGTGTAAACAGAGTCAGAAAGGATGTAAACATTTTGGGACAACTCTTGGTACTAAAAAACAGAGCTTATAGTCTCAAAAGCAGTACAAACATAGAAAAGAAGTGGTTGGATGTTCAAACGAGGCAGAACCATGCCATAACAGGAATTAACTGGTGCTACCAAAGCAATGCTCACTATTTTGAAAAACTTGCCTGATTTTGCTTCAGGACAGACACTTGTTTCTGGAGACAGATGTTTTCCTCTTCGAGCTCAGTGTAGTCTTGCAGCAAACGTGCTTCTCGGAATTTATATTCTTTAATATCATCTCGCAGACGGGCCCTTTGGATCTCCACATTCTGATTGACCTGGAAAAACAAACAAACCCCAAAATGATGGCGATTTGGTCGAATACAATTAAATTTCAAAATTTTATCTTTCCTTATGTGCTCTAATCAATTTGATTCTTTTCAAACAGAAACTCTTCCTGCCCACCATCTCAAATGAAATTAGAGAAAACCAAGTAATTTACACAATAATTAGATTTTGTTTTCTTGCCTCTCTTACAAATTCTTACTCTTGACTCAAAGAGAAGTTAATGAGCAGGCAGGGAAAGCAGCATTCACAACTATGTTGCCTCCCTGGCTGGAAGCAACAGACAAAAGTTTTCCAGATCAGAAGTCAATGCCTGAATCTGTTATCGCATAAACAAGAAGGGCCTTTTCACAAGAGAAAGACAGATTCAGCTAACTCCAGACATTCTTATGTGGACATATATTTGCTGCTGCTTGTCAACAGACCTTTTCTTTATGCTCTTTTCTTTATGCTTAGTGAAGTCATTTGGAAATATGTTCTAATGAATCCTTTTGGAGAGGGAGTTACATTTCAAATGAAATCCAAGATCCCAGGTAGAAAGAAACAGCGACTGTGGTTGACTTACAAAATGTTCCCTTCCTTCAGCCCCAAGACTTATGTAAGACCTTAAAGAAAGACTTAAAAAAAAAAAAAAATCACCATTATTGTTTTGGGATAGATAAGAAAAATCCACATATTGGAGTAGTGTGATCTTTAGAACTTTCATGAATATACATAGATACTTAAATAAATTGAGCTAGCATATATCCAGCTATGTGAATGGCTTACTGTACTCGGCTGCATTTTTTCCAACAGTATTTTCTTTCAGGCCACATCTTTAAATACTTAATTAAAACAAAGTGAAAAATATGTTCTAAAACATTAACAGAAATATCTTCAGAGACAGGCAAACAGGCAATATAGTTGCCTATAAAAATAGTATACAGATATTCTAGCAGCTGTAGCTGTGATGTTACAGGGTGGTTTCCTAAACAGTTCTAAATCGGCTCAAAACAAACCCGAGCTCATGAAAGAGGCAGCCTATCAGCTCAGCTGTTAGGTGACAGTATTTCCTTTCTGTTTTCATCTGTCCATCTAGCCAAGAAAGCTCCATTCTCTGGTATACATACTCATCAATTCTCTTAGTGTTCTCCACTTCTGGTTAGAAACAAGGATGTCAGCACTGAATAAAATAGGGTCTCAGTCCCCTTGTAAGCATGCAGCAGGAACGCACAGGTATCAACAGGCACCCAGATGAAGCTGAGAGATAAAGGACACGTTCACAGCAGGAGCACACGCCAAAACTTGAATCTGGCATGTTCTGCACACAAACACAAAATCACCTGCAACTGTTAAGACCAATAAATTTAAATTATAGCTCCCTCACATGTCAGGTAGAGATTACACTATATAAACTTGTCTGCTTATATTTAGCAACGAAGAGGAGAGCACTACTTCCCAGCACACTGAGAAGCTAAACCAAACATTAATTGCTGAAACCAGATGCTACAGTACAGCAATGCAAATGGAAAGTTGTGACATCCCATACTCCATGCCTGAGCAAGTGCTGGCTCTACCTCTGCTCAAACCCAGGGCCACGGGGAAAGATGCACCAGGGAGCTGAAGGCTACAGGCTGACATGAATTCACATCTTAACTTCTTCTCCTTAACAATTGCAATGAAGACCTCTGGCCTTTGGCAGAAGAAGCCTCCAGGCAGATAATCCAAACTGTTTAACAGTTTGTTTCATACAAATTAGGAGATTTTATCTGCAACTTTCCCCATACCCAAGTATGTGAAAGGCAATGGAAGACCCCCCACAAAGCTACAGGACAGCTGCTCTCCCCACCATTCAGGTTGCTTTGCTCCTCTTCCTCCCTGGATGATCTAATCTTTGCAGAAGTCAATGCCTGGAGAAATCACTGGAGTCAGTCTTTTTTGGAGAAAGAATGGTTTCTGTCTGATCTTGCCTGTTTAATTCGGAATAACGGTAAGAACTCATTATTTAACGTGAAAGTATTGCCATGTTCTGTCTAGCGCAAGAAAAATCATTCTACTTCAATGTGTACAGGAAGGCCAGATGCAAAAATAGCTCCCTTGTTTCCTGACGGGGGAAGGAAGATATAACCTAGATTTATTGGCTGTTTAGTAAGCTGTACATTCAGTTTGCTTTTAGGATTTTCTTGTCAAATAAACGTGCATGCTCACAAGCTGCAAGGTTAAATTGAGCGTTATGCTATCTCATACAACTGACCAAGTGGTGGGGTTTTTTTTCTGCAGGAAAGAGAAGCGACTGCATCCTTCCTTGATCAGATTTTCCTATTACCCATAAAGAAAGTGGTATTCATGGATTTGAAGACAGACACACACAGAGTTCTCACAGGCTCCTCAAGTGCACGGATGAAGTGAGCTAGCCTATGGATGAGTTTGAACCTTTCTGTGACTTTTGTCGCTTCAGTGGCTTAGTGGCTTCTTCCTTCCTCCTCTGCCCTGTACACAGGGGAGGAGGTAGAGCTGGAGCACAAGGGCACGTCTGGTTCTCAGCTCTACGAAAAGTCCCACCTTCACCCCAAGTGAATCATGTAGTACCTATAAAATATCATTAGCACTGTGTGGAGAATTGATGGCCATAAAATCCCACTGAATGTCCATCTACCTGAAAAAACATCTCAACTTCTCAACCTAGAGAATACTGCCACTACGCAGAAGCCTCTCATCCCTCCTTCCCAAGAAAAGACTGTAATCTGAAAGTGATTTTGCCTGATCTAAAGGCCACAGACCACTTGCTCCTGCTGCTAGAGAGCTTGTCTTCAGCACTTTCATCCTTTCAGCTTTGCCTCAAGGAGTTCTGCAAGGGCCTCTCTGAGCAGCACTGGTGCTGGAACAAGCAGGGATTTCCCTAGGACCAGTTTGAATTCACCTTTGCCTGCATATTAAAACCACAACTACTGTCCTTCATCACTGCAAAAAGCCTGCTCCTTAGCACCTACTTTTTCTAGCACAGCCCAGCATATAACGTAATGTATAATTTGACTCTGAGAATTAAAATCATTGAGAAAAAAAATCTCAAGTAGCTGATTCCCTCCTTTGCTTTGGGCACTGCACAGCCTGACTGGAGTTTAGCCTCCAGGTCACCAGCCAGAGGCTGATCTTGCAAGCGAAGCTGTGCCACTACCACAGTTTCTCTTACCTTGAACTCCACCAGCTCACGAGGTCACGGGTCAGTTCAAGTTCCCCACTGTAGCAAACATGCTCATACCTAATTTTACATGGCTTTATTATCATCAACAGTAAAAATTTAGTTTGCCCCAATTTATTACTAATTCTAGGATTAGATAATGCTTCATGCAATAAATGTATCTAGATATGATCATTCCCTTGTGTTCTTCATGGGAAGGATTCACAGAAAAGGATGCAGACTCTTTGGAAGAAACAGTGCAGTTGGGAAGGATGACAACTCATATAGATTCTTTTATCATGGGGAGAAGAAAATCATAGAATGATTTAGGTTGCAAAAGACCCTTAAGATCATCAAGTCCAATCGTTAATGTCACACTACCAAGTCCATCAAAACAATCAATAAAACATAATCTGTTAGACATTTTATTAAATATCAGCCTGAAAATTGGGAAGACTAATCCTCAGACACTTGGGTAACTTAGCACCTTCTTCAGCACTTTTTGAAGGAGATGTTTCAGCCAATATTTTTCTGAACACTGCCTTCATATTGTCACTCCAGAAGAGCCAACCTCAAAGCTACATTGTCTACCCCAGGTACCACTGGTGAAATTCAGAACTCAAAATATGGACCTCAAAGCTTTGCTATGCGCAAAAAGAAAATCTCAAGTCAATCACTAGACTTCAACACAACTAGCACATTACATCATTTAGGCTACAAAGACCAGTTGCAAGTTGGGCATGAAATTCACAGCTGCCCATCTGATTTGAACTGCATTTCCTTTGGACATGTGAGGACTGAGGTTCTGTGGCAAAGTACCATGTAACTGTGTAATTAAGGGCTGGGATATAAAATACTCCTAGAACAGAGCCAAACTAAGATTGCATAAGAAATCAAAAATAATCTTCCCTTAGTTCTCAAGTTATGGGCTCTTAAATAATGTTTTTAAATTATTGATATAAAACAAAACACAAATATTTGGCAGGAAAAAAGAAAAAGATAAAAAGTTGCATTAGATCCAACTGTTCAATTATACATGAATAAAAGATTTGGAAACCTGTACTTTCACTGCTGCAATAAAGATCACCTGTATCACGAGGCTGTTTGCAGTCCCTGGCAATGGGCAAACACTTTGAGGTTGGAGAGGTAGAGCAGCAGCCCCGTGTGGCTGGCATCACCTCTTGAGGATGCCTTTCTCTCTCTTTTATCTTCCTCAGATGCTGGAGCTACACGAGCTTCTTGATTTTTAAAATTTTGCCCACTGTGTTCTTACAGTAGATGAACTATAAAATAGTATTATTTATTTATGCAAAGGAGAAATGGTGGCCTAGTTCTGCTTCCTCATTCACAGGAAAACTACCTCCAGTCACACCTGCACCTACGTCATCATGTGTGCAGCATAAGATACCCCTGTGTATGAGGAAAGATTTATAAATAAAACACCTGTATATACCATGGCTCAGGCATCCTCAAGTTGGGAAAAGAAGCAGTTTTATTTCCCATAGAACCCCTGTATAAAATTCAGGCTATATCACCATATGCACACGTATCCATACACTGAATGCTGGGAAATGAAAACAAGTCTGGTAGAGACTGACAGCCAGGCACAGCTATACTGTCCTGGTTTTTGCTAGGATAGGGTTATTTTTCTTCTCAGTAGCTAGAAAGCGCTGTGTTCTGGTTTGAGTGGGATTTGTTATGAGAAGAATGTTGATGAGGTACAAGGACACCATGTTTGGGTAGTTTGCAGGTGCAAAGGACTGGGAGGGGGGAAGTCTAGTAGAATTGCCAGTTGGATGTGCCAATGAGATATTCCATGTCATATCATGTCATGGT